AAATCACCTCTATTTCTATAATATGTTTTCCATTCAATCAAATGAGACCAAGAAAACGAGAATACAACCACAAATACTATACGAAAATAGACCACAAAGTCGGCATTTTAATTAAAAAAAAATGGTCGGAGTTTTTTTTTCTCATTATGCACTGCGTGCTCCAGGATTTTTTTTATATGATGCACACTGACCACACAGACCCATTCTCTCACATGTGGGCCTACCAGCTTTCTCCTGCTTGATTTGAAGCCGCTAGAATTTATGAGTATATATACGTCAAACACGGTACCTCGTAAGACGTATATATACGGCCGCGACAGTCAAAGGGTTGAAACCCACTTACTCACCCTAAACTAAATACTCAATACTTAGTATTTAACTTTACCAAAAATCTCCCAATTACGTATTACCCAAAACAATACTGCCTTACACCCAATTTGTAGCATTCTCATACTGTAAACAACTTTCAACAATTCACACTGTTATATTCCCATAATATAATTTCAATATTTTTTTTGAAACTATTCTAATTAGAGTAAAATTACTGTCAATTATAAAAATAAAAAAGATGTACAACTTCAACAAACTATGATAAATTTATTAGTATTCTGTAAGCCATTAAGTCTGCCCATAATGCCTAGGCATTACAGTGGCTCTCTTTGCACTGCAACGCATTATTGTAATTTCATAATCTCAATGTAATCTTGCAAAGAAATAAATTTTGTTTGTTTGTTGTTTGTGGATGAAGATGAGCTTTGTCCTGGAACTGCTGAGTCAGCAGCTTGGGTCCCAGATTCACTCCCAGTCTGGGCTGGTGCCACATGCTGCACACTTGCATGCTGGTGGCACCACCACCACCTACTGGTGCATGTGGTCTATCCATCCCAATTATAGTCACGTCATCGTCACTTTCACTGTCTATTCCAAGTGTAGAGCCATGGGATATACTCAGTCCCCTTGGAACTGCATATAGTATAGGGTACCATATGGTACTTTGTACCATATGATACAGGGATCCCAATGGAAATAATTCACTCTGACTTTTTTTGGGTTATCCTAGGATCTCTCCACATATGCTGCTATGTATGATAATCTATGTAACTGTATTTGTGTATACCTGAATAAACTTACCTGAGCGCATGTGGTATCGTAAGTTTGTTAGTTTATTCAAGTACAGTGGATCTCCAGTATACGATATTAATTCGTTCCTGAGAGCTTATCGTATGCCAAAATTATCGGAAGGCGAATTAATTTTCCCCATAAGAAATAATGGAAATCAAATTAATCCGTGCAAGACACCCAAAAGAACTATGAAAAAAAAAAGTTTTACCACATGAAATATTAAGTTTAATGCACACAAACTGAAGAAGACATGCACAGTTAGTAGTACTCTACTAACAATAGAATACATGACACTTACCTTTAATGAAGATCTGGTGATGATTGATGGAATGGGAGGAGGGAAGAGTTTCGAACTTATAGTTTAGAAGGGGAATCCCCTTCCATTAGGACTTGAGGTACCAAGTCCTTTTCCGGGGTTACTTCCCTTCTTCTTTTAATGCCACTAGGACCAGCTTGAGAGTCACTGGACCTCTGTCGCACAACAAATCTGTCCATAGAACTCTGTACCTCCCGTTCCTTTAAGATTTGTCTAAAATGGGCCACAACACTGTCATTGTAATACTAGTCACCAGCATGGCTTGCAATAGCTGTGTTAGGGTGATTTTCATCCATGAAGGTTTGCAGTTCAACCCACTTTGCACACATTTCCTTAAATTTTGAAGTAGACACAATGGATTCCACAACTAATTCTCACCCTTTTTACCACAGGGTTGGCACTAGAAGCTTTCTTGGGGCCCATGGTGACTTATTTTGCAGAAACAAGCACCAAAAACACTGTGATAATATGGAATGTACCGTATGTATGCTTAGATGCGAGCACACTGGCTGGCTTGTAAACACTGGCACACACGGGGCAGTTCAGGCCACATGTGGACGCGTCCCGGACGAATCGCATGTGGCGGGTTTTTTAACGAGGGGCGAGGCAAAATTTTTGCGTTAAAATGTAGCGTATACCGGATTTAACGTATACCGATGCCATCGAATGCCGGGGGTCCACTGTATACATAAATACAGTTACATAGGTTATACATAGCAACATGTGTGTGAAGAACCTAGGATAACCCCCAAAAAAAAGTCAGAGTGACTTATTTCCATTGGAGTCCCTGTAAGTGTCATTTCAGTATTGTTTATTGTGCATGTATCATTTTTTCTGTGTAGGGAAATGTATATTTCATATAAAAGAAATTATTTTGTTTAACCCTTTGAGGGTCGACAGGTCCTCTCCGAGACTTGTTCTCAGGGTCGGCCAAAAAAAAAAAAAAAAAATCTTATGAAAAGATAGAGAATCTTTTCCCAATCATAATGACACCAAAAGTATGAAATTTGATGGAAAACTTATGGAATTATGCTCTCGCAAAGTTAGCAGTCTCGACGATGTTTACGCATCGGCGATTTTGCCCACTTTGAGCCCTATTTTCAGCCAATTCCAATGCACTAGTCGACGAAAATCATAACTATTTCACTAGAACGCCATTTTTTCTATGGATTGAGTACAAGAACCCATCCATTTACTGATTTCAACTATCCAATAAAGTGGTCAGAATTGAACAATTTTGCAAATTTCACACAAATTTCAAAAGATGCCAATTTCCGAATAGGGTCCAGAATAAACAAGAAAGACATTCCTGGCACTATAATAACAAATTCTCTGTTCATTAGTCACATCTCCAGGCCCCTCTTATATTTCTTTGGCTTTCCACTTTGAATTTTTATTCTTACAAAAAATAGAAGATTTACTGTTATGCGGACTACTGCATTAGTGTAGAAATGGTATAAATAATATCAGCGCGCTTGTAAAAGAATATTAGACTCACCAGTTGATGTGTATTGGACACTTGGCATGATTTATTTACTTTTGAACTTTGGTAAAAATCGAACATTTCTGCTTTTTTGCGCTCAATTTCAAGGTACTTTTCATTGTAAAACCAGTCAAAAATCATCTCAATTTCTCTAATATGTCTTCCATTCTATAAAATGAGACCAAGAAAACTAGAATACAACAATAAATACAATACGAAAATACAGTGCAAAGTCGCTGTTTTATTCCAAAAACACGGTCAAAGTTTTTTTTTTCCCATTACGCACTGTGTGCTGCAGGATTTTTTTTATACTGCGCACACTGACCACATAGACCCATTCTTTCATATGTAGGCCTACCAGCTTTCTCTCACTAGATTTGAGGGCGCTAGAATTTAGGTGTACTAGTACGTCAAAAACCCTGGGTTGTAAGCCGTACTAGTATGGCTGAAACCCTCAAAGGGTTAACCCTTTCAGGGTCCGTGCCGTAGATCTAAGGCTTTTTGTTGAGGGTCCAAACCGTTGATCTATGCCATGAGCTCAGCTCACTCAGATAAGCTGTAAGCGGTAAATTTGGGCCTAGATATGAGAGAATGCATCTATGTGGTAGGTGTGCACCACATAAAACAAATCCTGCAGCACACAGTGCATAATGAGAGAAAAAAATGAGACCTTAATTTTTTATTAAAACAGCGAATTTCCAGTGTTTTTTCGCATGTTTTTTATAGATGTATTTGCGATTTCTTGGTCTCATTTGATAGAATGGAAGATATATTACAGAAATAGAGGTGATTTTGATTGGTTTTAGTACTGAAAATAAGTACTAATAAATAAGGCATCATTATGGAGACAGTGAAAGCAGCTAAGTACAGTAGACATCACATACATGCACACACAAACTCATCACATAGATAATAAGAAATCTCAACTGTAAATTATTGTTTTAAACAAAATACTGAAATATGTACGAGTTACTCACCTGAGTCAGTATTTCATAATATTACCCTTCCTCTTGAAGCATTCCTTATAATCTCCTAGGCACTGATAAAGCTAAAGTATGCAGAACAGTTAAGTCACTACCCACTAGTTAGTTAGTTTAATATCTTTATTATGCACCCCATACCCATCCTGTCGGCAGTAGTCAAAAGATTACAGAAGTACATAATGGGTCCAGGGACTAGGCCCCAAAGTTTTAATAGCCAAACAAGTTACAATGGTAATGAACTTTTACATGTCTATATCTGGTCACAATCATGAACAATTCAAGTAAATCATTCAATGTCACACACCACACTAAAGAAGACACTATACATGAACACACAAGCACACGTGCACACACACACACACTGGTAATGCTTTATTTACAGTGAGCAAGGTCAGGGTATTTTTCTAGAATGGTTTAAAATACACCACGGATAAAATACTTTGCAATTTCTTGAACATTACTGAGTGAGTTGTCTCTGAATTCATTAATTTTATTGCACTCCAGTACATAATGATGCAGGGTATGACAATAGTCCATCTGGCAAAGTTTAAATTTCGTTTGTTCTACATCATCTGGTGGTGGTGATTTAGCCTGCCAAAGATACTTATAACCCAGCCAGAGCTGGGCGGTAGTGACGTCCGAGAGTTTGCTTATTTTGTTGGATGCACCACAGACATATGGCTCCTCCTGCATGATAGAATGCTAGATGGACTGACTGGTGTCAGTTCTTTTCATATTGTTCTCAAACTGCTAACTGACAATCTGTTAACACCTTCTTAATGGCAATTGATAGTTTGGGGATAGAGGACATATTCATGTCATGAAGCTTATGCTTAATAATGTTCCACATGTTCTCTACTGGATGTAAGTCTGGCGAGTTACCAGGCCAGTTGTTAAGGCATACAAAAGTTGCCACGGCATTTCTCAAAACTGTCAGCAAATAGTCTACTAAAGGCATACTTATGGGCATGCATATTTATGACACCTACTGTACACCACACTAGGTATAACAATCCACAAATAACCCTGGCTTTCCTTGAGGCCAGAATGTAGGAAAATGCAAAGTAATACATTGAAGAACAAGAATATGTCTTACCTATGTAGCCAGTACTTGTAATAGATGGGTTGAACTGCTCCAGGACCTTTGGTTTGGAAAATATCAATAAGATCTTCAAAATAGTTGAAGACTCTGGCCAAATATGTTTCTCTGTCAAGTTCAGGGAGAGACGTGTTGTGCTCCTTGTTGTACTCTCGAACAGCATCATTTATACAGTATGTTGGGTTACTGTTTGACAGATTTACGCCACAACCTAAAACACATCATGTCAATTTTACAATATTTATTTCTCCCATGTAAAATATAATAGATGAACTGAAAGCACAGATAATAAAGCCTAATATTAATACAGCAGAATGCTAATTAAAAGGAAGATTACATTACTGAAAACCTCCACTATAAGAGAAATAACATTAGGTGAACCAAAGAGTATACAGGTTGATTTTCAAATACCTCCAAAAATGCCAAAGTTTTTTAAGATGATATAATTTATTAAATTTTATGTCTTACATTGTAGTTTCCATTACACCTTGATCTTTAAATGTATGAAGAGATCGGTGTGGCCCTTTACAGTGTATGTACAAACATGTGGCTGGCAGCATCAGTAGTCACCACCATCTGCTGTCAACATCAATAAAAACAAGCCAAACATGTAGGAACTCATACCAAACATACAGTAGGGGTCCTGACTTAAAACGTTCTGAGTCCCAAGGTTTTGTATTTAGACACTGGCATTTTGGAACCAATTACAGTCGTACCCAAAGTTTCGAACTTATTTCATTCCAGGATGCTGTTCGAGTGCCAATATCAAATGAATTTGTTCCCATAAGGAATAATGTAAATTAGTTTAGTCCATTTCAGACTCACCCCCAAAAATACACTTACAAATGCGCTTACACAAATACACTTACATAACTGTTAAAGTTGGGAGCAGTTTGAAACTCAGGGTACCACTGTAATTACTTGCAAGCAATTTCTCGCTCTTACAATGTCAGAATGACAATACATGCATTTATGTTGTTCTTAAGAATGAATTATAAATATATGTTTTTGGTTAGTGTTCACCAAATGAATTCATACTTTTTGATGGTTATTTTATGTCTGTACAGATGACTCATATTTGTTGGTTAAAGATTCAACAATAACTGTACAAAAAATACTTATGTTTTTATTAGAGATGATTTACAATTTTTTTCCCATAATTTTTAACCAGATACAGTCAAATTTTGTGTATGCTTATTAACCCTTAAACTGTCCAAACATAGATCTACATTTTCTTGCCAAACGCTCCGAATATTTTAAATGAAGAGGGCATTATTCTATATGTAACAAGATAAAAAAAATTTTATGGTCAGTACTTACCGAGATATAAACCCGCAAAGTTGGTGCTGAATGCTCAGGTGACGGCAACATGGAGTGCTGCCACTTGCAGAAATGTTGAAGATTTATCATTTTTTTTTCAATTCTTTCATAATTTTCATAGTTTTTGTCATGATAATAATGTTTTGTTGCAGATCATTTGATTTCATAGCCAACTGTTGCTTAGACACAAATGTTTGGTACTGAATTAGTATTCATACTGTCAAAACACACATGTTCACACTGATAGATGAATTTGTACACCTGATTCAATCACATACTATTGTCTACATATATACAGTGGACCCCCGACCTACGATATTAATCCGTTCCTGAGAGCCCATCGTAAGTCGAAATGATCATAGGTTGAATTAATTTTCCCCATAAGAAATAATGGAAATCAAATTAATCCGTTCCAGACACCCGAAAGTATATAAAAAAAATGTTTACCACATGAAATATATATTTTAGTACACAAAATAAGGAGACATGCATAATATATATTATTGTGTAATGAAGAATAAATGACACTTACCTTTATTGAAGATCTGTTGATGAGTGATGGGATGGGAGGAGGGGAGATGATGGAGGTTATTTTTTGGAAGGGGAATGCCCTTCCATTAGGACTTTAGGTAGCAAGACCTTTTCTGGGGTTACTTCCCTTCTTCTTTTAATGCCACTGGGAATAACTTGAGTCACTGGACCTCTGTCGCACCAAAAATCTGTCCATAGAGCTCTGTACCTCTTGTTCCTTTAAGATTTTTCTAAAGTGGTTCACAACACTGTCATTGTAAAAGTCACCAGCACGGCTTGCAATAGCTGTGTCAGGGTGATTTTCTTCCATAAAGGTTTGCAGTTCAACCCACTTTGCACACATTTCCTTAATCTTTGAAGAAGGCAACATCCTCAATTTCTCTCTCCCCTCCTCTGGAGCAATTTCCTCAAGTCTGGCCTGTTGCTGTTGCAAATGCTCTTGCAGCTCATCAGTGATTAGTTCTTCATCGTCCTCCTTCACCAACTCTTCCACATCCTTCCCACTAACCTCCAACCCCATGGACTTCCCCAATGCCTCAACAGATTCCACAACTGGCACAGGCTCCTCAGGTAAGCCCCAAACCTTTCAAAATCCCTCTCTTGTACACACTGTGGCCACAATTTCCTCCAAGCAGAGTTCAAGGTCCTCTTAGTCACTCCCTCCCAAGCCTTACCTATAAGGTTTACACAACTGAGGATACTGAAGTGATCTTTCCAAAACTCTCTTAGGGTCAACCGAGTGTCTGAGGTCACTTCAAAGCACTTTCGAAACATTGCTTTGGTGTACAATTTTTTGAAATTTGAAATGACCTGCTAGTCCATGGGCTGGAGGAGAGGAGTGGTATTAGGAGGCAAGAACGTGATTTTGATAAAACTCAAGTCCCCTGAAATTCGCTCAGCCAATTCTGAAGGATGACCAGGAGCAATGTCTAATAAAAGGAGGCACTTAAGGTCCAATTTATTTTCCAGGAGGTAATTTTTCCCAGTGGGGCCAAACACATGTTAAAACCAGTCATAGAAAAAGTCCCTAGTGATGCATGATTTACTGTTTGCCTTCCACATCACACACAAATTAGCCTTGACAACATTGTTTTTCCTGAACACTCTGGGAGTTTCAGAGTGATACATGAGTAGAGGCTTCACTCTGCAATCCCCACTAGCATTACTACACAACAAAACAGTAAGCTTGTCTTTCATAGGTTTGTGTCCTGGGAGTGCTTTTTTCCTCCTGTGTAATGTAGGTCCTATTTGGCATTTTTTTCCAAAACAGGCCTGTTTCATCACAATTAAACATTTGTTGGGGTTTGAATCCTTCAGCCTCTATGTACTCCTGGAATTCCTGCACATATTTTTCAGCTGCTTTTTGGTCCAAACTGGCAGCCTCACCATGCCTTATCACACTATGTATGCCACTACGATTCTTAAATTTCTCAAACCAACCTTTAGTGGCCTTAAATTCACTCATATCACCACTAGTTGCAGGCATTTTCTTAAACCTTTCAGGGTTTCTGATGTACTAGTACGACTTACGCACCAGGGTTTTTGATGTAGTAGTACGCCTAAATTCTAGCGCCCTCAACTCTAGTGAAAGCTGGTAGGCCTACATATGAAAGAATGGGTATATGTGGTCAGTTTACCTAGAGTTTACCTGGAGAGAGTTCCGGGGGTCAACGCCCCTGCAGCCCGGTCTGTGACCAGGCCTCCTAGTGGATCAGAGCCTGATCAACCAGGCTGTTACTGTTGGCTGCACGCAATCTAACGTACAATCCGGCTGGTCAGGTACCAACTTTAGGTGCTTGTCCAGTGCCTGCTTGAAGACAGCCAGGGGTCTATTGGTAATCCCCCTTATGTATGCTGGGAGGCAGTTGAACAGTCACGGGCCCCTGACACTTATTGTATTATCTCTTAACGTGCTAGTGACACCCTTGCTTTTCATTGGGGGGATGTTGCATCATCTGCAGAGTCTTTTGCCCTTGTTGTGAGTGATTTTCATGTGCAAGGTACTAGTCCATCTAGGATTTTCCAGGTGTATATAATCACGTATCTCTCCCGCCTGCATTCCAGGGAGTACAGGTTCAGGAACTTCAAGCACTCCCAGTAATTGAGGTGTTTTATCTCCGTTATGCGCACCGTGAAGGTTATCTGTACATTTTCTAGGTCAGCAATTTCACCTACCTTGAAAGGTGCTGTTAGTGTGCAGCAATATTCCAGCCTAGATAGAACAAGAGACCTGAAGAGTGTCATCATGGGCTTGGCATCCCTAGTTTTGAAGGTTCTCATTATCCATCCTGTCATTTTTCTAGCAGATGCGATTGATACAATGTTATGGTCCTTGAAGGTGAGATCCTCCGACATGATCACTCCCAGGTCTTTGACGTTAGGTTTTTTGCTCTATTTTGTGGAAGGAATTTATTTTGTACTCTGATGATGTTTTAATTTTCTAATGTTTACCATATCGGAGTAATTGAAATTTCTCATCGTTGAACTTCATATTGTTTTCTGCAGCCCACCGAAAGATTTGGTTGATGTCCGCCTGGAGTCCTGCAGTGTCTGCAATGGAAGACACTGTCATGCAGATTCGGGTGTCATCTGCAAAGGAAGACACGGTGCTGTGGCTGACATCCTTGTCTATGTCAAATATGAGGATGAGAAACAAGATGGGAGCGAGTACTGTGCCTTGTGGAACAAAGCTTTTCACTGTAGCTGCCTCAGACTTTACTCTGTTGACTACTACTCTTTGTGTTCTGTTTGTGAGGAAATTATAGAACCATCTACCAACTTTTCCTGTTATTCCTTTAGCACGCATTTTGTGCGCTATTACACCATGGTCACACCTGTCGAAGGCTTTTGCAAAGTCTGTATATATTACATCTGCATTCTTTTTGTCTTCTAGTGCATCTAGGACCTTGTCGTAGTGATCCAGTTGCTGAGACAGACAGGAGCGACCTGCTCTAAACCCATGTTGCCCTGGCTTGTGTAATTGATGGGTATCTAGATGGGTGGTGATCTTGCTTCTTAGGACCCTTTCTAAGATTTTTATGATATGGGATGTTAGTGCTATCGGTCTGTAGTTCTTTGCTATTGCTTTACTGCCCCCTTTGTGGAGTGGGGCTATGTCTGTTGTTTTTAGTAACTGTGGGACGACCCCCGTGTCCATGCTCCCTCTCCATAGGATGGCAAAAGCTTGTGATAGGGTCTTCTTGCAGTTCTTGATGAACACTGAGTTCTATGAGTCTGGCCCTGGGGCAGAGTGCATGGGCAGGTCATTTATCACCTGTTCGAAGTCATTTGGCATCAGGATAATATCAGATAGGCTTGTGTTAACCAAACTTTGTGGCTCTCTCATAAAAAAATTAATTTTGATCTTCGACTCTCAGTCTGGTTAGCAGCTTGCTAAAAACTGAGTCATATTAGGACTTGAGTAGGTCACTCATTTCCTTCCTGTCATCTGTGTAGGACCCATCTTGTTTAAGTAGGGGCCCAATACTGGATGTTGTTCTCGACTTTGATGTGCGCAGTATAAAAAAAATCCTGCAGCACACAGTGCGTAATGAGAAAAAAAACTTTGACAGTGTTATTGGTTTAAAACAGTGACTTTGCACTGTATTTTCGTATGGTATTTATGATGGTATTCTAGTTTTCCTGGTCTCATTTTATAGAGTGGAAGACATATTACAGAAATTAAGACGATTTTGATTGGTTTTATAATGAAAAGTACCTTGAAATTGAGTTCAAAGTAGCAGAAATTTTCGATTATTGCCAAATTTTAAAAGTAAACAAATCATGCTACGCATCCAATACACGTCAACTGGTGAGTCTAATATTCTTTCACAAGTGCTCTGATATTATATATACCATTTCTACACTAATGCAGTAGTCTGCATAGCAGTAAATCAATTTTTTGTAAGAATAAAAATTCAAAGTGGAAAGCAAAAGAATGTAAGAGGGGCATGGGGACGTGACTAATGAACAGAGGAAATGTGATTTTAGTGCCAGGAATGTCTTTCTTATTTATTCTGGACCCTATTCGGAAATTGGCATCTTTTGAAATTTGTGTGAAATTTGCAAAATTGCTAAATTCTGGCCACTTTATTGGATAGTTGAAATCTGTAAATGGGTGGTTTCTTGTACTCATTCGATAGAAAAAATGGAGTTCTAGTGAAATAGTTATGATTTTTGTCGACTAGTACACTGGAATTGGCCGAAAATAGGGCTTAAATTGGGCAAAATCGCCGATGCGTAAACATTGTCAAGACCGCTAACTTCACGAGAGCTTAATTCTGTAAGTTTTCCATCAAATTTCATACTTTTGGTGTCATTATGATTGGTAAAAGATTCTCTATCTTTTCGTAAGAAAATTTTTTTTTGTTTTTTTTGAAAATTTGTCGACCCTGAGAACAAGTCTGGGAGAGGGCCTGTCAACCCTGAAAGGGTTAATTAAATCGTTATGCAACTGCCTTGCCTTTTCTCATATGATCGCTTGAGAGATGCTATTTCCTGGTATCTGCTTTTCGTTTATCCACACCAATAACAGTCTCTCAACATCTTCGAGCACTTGTGATCTGTGTTTCGTAAAGATATTTGCACCTTTTGCAACAACAGCTTCCTTGATTGCCTGTTTATTGGCCAGGATAGTAGAGATGGTTGATTGGGGTTTGTTGTACAACCTGGCCAGCTCAGAGGCACGTACTCCACTTTCCTATTTATTTATTATCTCCTCCTTCATTTCAATAGTAATTTTCACCCTTTTTACCATAGGGTTGGCACTAGAAGCTGTCTTTGGACCCATTCTGGCTAATTTAGCAGTTAGAAGCACTAAAAACACTCGAATAATACAAAATGTTCCGAATGTATGCATGGGAGCGACCTCTCTAGCTTGTAAACACTGGCACACTAACTGAAGGCAGACCAGCTCAGGTGCGCTCAGGGTAGTCAGACACGTGGACGCGTACCGGAAGAATGCTGTAGATGGAGTTTTTCAACATACGTCGGGGTCGCATTTTTACACTGTAAAACATAGTAAGCCAGTTTTAATGTAGGTTGGGGACATTGTAGGTCGGGGGTCCTCTGTACATGTATAGTACAAGGTATTTACAGGTCTCATTTATGTTTCTAGAAGTCCACCATTGTATGATATTCCATGAAGCATGGATTCATACACAGTGCCAGCCCACATTTTATGATACCCCATGAAGAATGGATTGTATGATACTCCATGAAGCATGGATTCATACAGAGTGACACCCCACATTGTATGATACTCCATGAAGCATGGATTCATACACAGTGCCACCCCACACTAGGATGTAAATAGCGTGCTGAAAATTTCAAGCCAAGAGAGGACTCACAGCATGGTTAAAGTCTGAAAATTTCAGCATTCAGGAAGGGTTATAGGAAAATCAGTTTGAAGGAATAGAAAACTTGTTGGTATGAGTGTGGAACAAACTCCTGAGTACAGTTATTGAGGCTAAAATGTTGTGTAGTTTTAAAAATAGGTTAGATAATTACATGAGTGGGTGTGGATGGGTGCGAGTTGGACCTGACTAGCTTGTGCTGCTGGGTCTGGTGTCATGCTCCTTCCATCAGTGGAGGTGACCAGGCTGGGTGGGTCATTGGGCTAATCCAGGGAGCGGGGTCACTGGGCTAATCCGGGGGAGGAGGGTCATTGGGCTAATCCAGGGGGGAGGGACATGGACCTGCTATGCATGGGTCAGTAGGCCTGTTGCAATGTTCCTTCTTTCTTATGTTCTTATGAAGCATGGATTCATACAGAGTGACAACCCACACTGTATAATACTCCATGATGCATGGATTGTATGATACTCCATGAAGCATGGATTGTATGATACTCCATGAAGCATGGATTGTATGATGCTCCATGAAGCATGGACTGTATGATACTCCATGAAGCATGGATTGTATGATGCTCCATGAAGCATGGATTGTATGATACTCCACAAAGCACTGATTGTATGATACTCCATGAAGCATGGATTGTATGATACTCCACGAAGCATGGATTGTATGATACTCCACAAAGCATTGATTGTATGATACTCCATGAAGCATGGATTGTATGATACTCCACGAAGCATGGATTGTATGATACTCCAAAAGCATGATTGTATGATACTCCATGAAGCATGGATTGTATGATACTCCATGAAGCATGGATTGTATGATACTCCATGAAGCATGGATTGTATGATACTCCATGAAGCATGATTGTATGATACTCCATGAAGCATGGATTGTATGATACTCCATGAAGCATGGATTGTATGATACTCCATGAAGCATGGATTGTATGATACTCCATGAAGCATGGATTGTATGATACTCCATGAAGCATGGATTGTATGATACTCCATGAAGCATGGATTGTATGATACTCCATGAAGCATGGATTGTATGATACTCCATGAAGCATGGATTGTATGATACTCCATGAAGCATGGATTGTATGATACTCCATGAAGCATGGATTGTATGATACTCCATGAAGCATGGATTGTATGATACTCCATGAAGCATGGATTGTATGATACTCCATGAAGCATGGATTGTATGATACTCCATGAAGCATGGATTGTATGATACTCCATGAAGCATGGATTGTATGATACTTCATGAAGCATGGATTGTATGATACTCCATGAAGCATGGATTGTATGATACTCCATGAAGCATGGATTGTATGATACTCCATGAAGCATGGATTGTATGATACTCCATGAAGCATGGATTGTATGATACTCCATGAAGCATGGATTGTATGATACTCCATGAAGCATGGATTGTATGATACTCCATGAAGCATGAATTGTATGATACTCCATGATGCATGGATCCATACAGAGTGCCACACCACATTGTATGATACTCCATGAAGCATGGATTGTATGATACTCCATGAAGCATGGATTGTATGATACTCCATGAAGCATGGATTGTATGATACTCCATAAAGGATGGATTATATGATACTCCATGAAGCATGGATTCATACAGAATGGCAACCCACATTGTATGATACTCCATGAAGCATGGATTCATACAGAATGACAACCCACATTGTATGATACTCCATGAAGCATGGATTGTATGATACTCCATAAAGGATGGATTGTATGATACCCCATGCAGCATGGATTCATACAGAATGACAACCCACATTGTATGATACTCCATGAAGCATGGATTGTATGATACTCCATGAAGCATGGATTGTATGATACTCCATGAAGCATGGATTCATACACAGTGACAACCCACATTGTATGATACTCCATGAAGCATTGCCACCCCACATTGTATGATACTCCATGAAGCATGGATTCATACACAGTGCCACCCCATATTGTATGATGCTCTATGAAGCATGGATTCATACACAGTGCCACCCAACATTGCTGACATATGAATCTTGTGTCTTTTTGTTAGTGTTTGCACACAACACACTTTTTCTGAGAATACTTATTCTTTGGAGTAGATGGTATCTGTATCAGGCAGTGACTGTTAGGAATTATTCGATTTGGCACGTCACCCTGTGGTTGTGGTGGGGGGACAGGTTGCTGTTGAGAGACAGGTACAGGTGTGGTACCATACTTTTTTACTATATGCTTTATGAAACTGAGGGTGAATTCTGCAGTGTTGTTGATTCCAATTCTTTATTTCATACATGTTGAAAGAATTGAACATTGCAATGTCTACAAGGTGGAAAAACACTTTCACATACCACTTGTGACTCCTATGCACACGATCAACGAACCATATTTGCATGTCACACTTATTGACTAGTCGTATGTTGCTCATATAGTTGATGATAGCAGCTGGCTTTACAATATGTTTATTGGTGTCCTTGTTCACTCTGTATGTTTGTACCATCTTGTTTCTGTGGATGATTGACAGCAACGTCACATCCAGTTTGTCATGCCACATCAGTGCCATGATGTCATTGGCATGTGTCACTTGCACTGCACCTTCAGCACTGCCTCCAGTGAACCTTGGCATATGTTCATTTTACTTCTCACTGTTCCACATATATAAGTTTTTCACACGGAGGAAATCAGCGAGCATAGGGCTTGTATACCAGTTGTCTGTGTATAATGTATGACCCTTGCCAAGGTATGGCTCCATCATCTTGTGAACAACATCCCCAGAAATGCCCAACATCCGCTTGGTATCGTTGAGTGTATTTTTCTGTGTAGATAATGACATCCAACACAATACCAGTCTCACAGTCATACATAACAGAATTTTATACCAAAGCGATTATGTTTGCTTGGTATAATATTGTTGGAATGACCGTCGTCCCTTAAACAGAACCAAGGACTCAACAACAACGTTCTTGAATGGATAAAAGTAGGCAATGAATTTTTTATTCGGATACATAAACACATTCCGGATTTTGTATCGGTCATTTCTGTTCGGTGTATTTCTGTCTGAGAAGTGCAACATTTGTAGCAACAGAGTAAATCTGTTGCAGGGAAGGTCACGGAAGACTGGAGTACTGATGAAGTAGTCTGTGCACCTGTAGTGTGCTATATTGTGCTTGTATGTATGTGGCATAAGCATGACAGTGCCAAGGAATAAATATATTTCTGTGTTGACAATTGTATACCAGTAGCAACTGTCAGTCTGGGTGACAATCAAGTTCATTATAGGCTCATCAAAGTGTAGATGGAAATAGTCTAATCCTGTAGACTCATTTGTGATGGGACATTCTGGCATAATGCCACTTCCACTGGCATAAAAACTGCTAGGATGTGGCACAAATGGTGTATTTTCTGTCAAGTTCCATTCGCAGTCTGGTGGTGCAGGGTGGACCTGAGGCATGGGGTGTGGGGGAGCAGGAGGAGGGATAGGAGTTGAGGCAGCACATGGTTGAGAGGGTGCCGGGTGGTCCTTTGTCTGTCCACCCACCATGCCATGACGTCCAGGCACCATGCCACCCACCTCCTCTTCCTCCATCCCAGCATATTCTCCTTCATGATCAGTATCACTATCAGTGGCTAGGGTTTTGGATCCTAACCTCCCACAACCCTTGCAGACTGCATACGGCACATTGCTTGAATGTAGGCGATGACGCCTAAAAGTATGTTTCACTGGGGAATAATAAATATCATTTTCACTCGACGAATCCTCTAAGGGCATAAAATCAATCTCATCATCACTTATATCACTTTCACTATCGTCAACACCAAAACCGTGGGAAAATGACAATTTCTCCTTGTGTAGTTGCCTTTCGGTAGTAACACTAGCCACCCCAGACGTGCTGGGCTGAGGGTGTGTTGTGGCCACACTGGCCACATTCGCCACACTGGCCACCCCAGAAGTGCTGGGCTGAGGGTCATCTGGGTTATCACCAACATTTTCACTAATTCCTTGATCATTAGTGGCCATATTGGAGCCAAATCCACTAAACTTGCATTCTGTATCACTTTCCTTGAGGAAGAGAGTGTTAATACACCGAGATGTGAGTGAATCACAGGGGTTTGCCACGATGTTGACTCAAGATACAGATGAAACTAACTGGTGGTACCATGTGGTACTGCGGCATCCCTGATTTTTTCATACTGTGCACACTGAGTGTGCAGACCCATTCTCTCATGTCTAGGCCACTCTGGCCTACCATGCCAAATTTAAAGGCAGGAAAAATAAAACATAGATCTATGTTTGGAGCACTAATAGTACAAGCGTAGATTTACATTTGGACAACTTAAGAATTAATTTTGATGTAGAGAGAACATGTATGAAGACCTCACAAATTTATGGTAAAGATTGGTTAAAACCCAGATTTATTTTTTATATTGCATTAGTATGTTAGTTTTTATGTAGTGTGTAAACATTAGGATTAGTCTGCCTAAAATGCACAGCATATTAATGGCTTTCTTTGTGCTTAACAATACTTTATAACATGTAAACTACATTTTGTATACTGTAAAATGAAATGAAGTTGTTTGTTGTTTGGCTTAGTTGGTTAGACAGGAGTGATGGGTGGTTGTGGAAGAAAAACCCAGCAGTGATGCTGGGTGGTTCTGGATGAAAGACCTACACTGATGCTGGGTGGATCTGGAGGAAGGACCCAACAGTGATGCTGGGTGGTTCTGGAGGAAGGACCTACACTGATGCTGGGCAGTTCTGGAGGAAAGACCAGCAGTTAAGCGAATGTATAGGAACCTTTGAACCAAGTGAGAGAGTAATTGTGGTAGGAGACCTGAATGCTAAAGTAGGAGAAACATTTAGAGAGGGTGTGGTAGGTAAGTTTGGGGTGCCAGGTGTAAATGATAATGGGAGCCCTTTGATTGAACTTTGTATAGAAAGGGGTTTAGTTATAAGTAATACGTATTTTAAGAAAAAGAGGATAAATAAGTATACAAGATATGATGTAGGGTGTAATGACAGTAGTTTGTTGGACTATGTATTGGTAGATATAAGGCTGTTGAGTAGAGTGCAGGATGTACATGTTTCTAGAGGAGCCACAGATATATCAGATCACTTTCTAGTTGTAGCTACACTGAGAGTAAAAGGTAGATGGGATACAAGGATAATAGAAGCAGCAAGTAAGAGAGAGGTGAAGGTGTGTAAACTAAAAGAGGAGGCAGTTAGGGTAAGATATAAACAACTATTGGAGGAAAGATGGGCTAGTGAGAGTATAGGCAATGGGGTCGAAGTTGTATGAGGTAGGTTTAAGAATGTAGTGTTAGAGTGTTCAGCAGAAGTTTGTGGTTACAGGAGGGAAGAAGAGCGATTGGTGGAATGATGATGTAAAGAGAGTAGCAAGGGAAAAAAAAGTTAGCAAACGAGAGGTTTTTACAAAGGAGAAGTGATACAAGGAAGGAAGAGTATATGGAGAGAAAAAGAGAGGTTAAGAGAGTGGTGAAGCTATGTGAAAAGAGAGCAAATGAGAGAGTGGGTGAGATGTTATCAACAAATTTTTTGAAAATAAGAAAAAGTTTAGGAGATTAATAAGTTGAGGAAGCCTAGGGAACAAATGAATTTGACAGTTAAAAATAGGAGAGGAGAGTTATTAAATGAAGAGTTAGAGGTATCAAGAAGATGGAGGGAATATTTTGAGGAATTATTAAATGTTGATGAAGACAGGGAAGCTGTGATTTCGTATATAGGGCAAGGAGGAATAACATCTTGAAGGAGTGAGGGAGAGCCAGTTGTGAGTGTGGGGGAAGTTCGTGAGGCAGTGGGTAGAATGAAAGGGGGTAAGGCAGCTGGGATTGATGGGATAAAGATAGAAATGTTAAAAGCAGGAGGGGATATAGTTTTGGAGTGGTTGGTGCTACAGTGGACCCCCGCATAACGATATTAATCCGTTCATGAGAGCTCATTGTTATGCAAAATTATCGTTATGTGAATGAATTTTCCCCATAAGAAATAATGGAAATCAAATTATCCAGTGCAAGACACCCAAAAGTATGAAAAAAAATTTTACCACATGAAATATACATTTTCCTACACACAAAGAGAAGGATACATGCACAATAGTAGAGTAGTACATGCACAATATATATTGTGCATGTACTACTCTACTAAATGAAGAATAAATGACACTTACCTTAATTGAAGATGCAGCAATGACTGATGAGACACTGTGTCCTGGGAGTTCCTTTTCCTCCTGAGTACTCATGGTCCTGTTTGGCATTTTCTTCCAGAACAGGCCTTATCGCACTGTGTATGCCACTACGACTCTTAAATCTCTCAAACCAACCTTTGCTGGCTTTAAATTCACCAATATGAGCACTAGTTCCAGGCATTTTTCCCTGTTCACCTGGGTGTTAGTCGACTGGTGTGGGTTGCATCCTGGGAGACAAGATTAAGGACCCCAATGGAAATAAGTTAGAGAGTCCTCAATGATGCACTGACTTTCTTGGGTTATCCTGGGTGGCTAACCCTCTGGGGTTAATTGTTTCTCTGTAATTGTTTCACGTTAAGCCACACCAACAACACACTCTCCACATCTTCGAGTAATACAGCTGATGGTGGTGCAGCAACAACAACAGCTGTGGGCAGCTGACCTGGTGCAGCAGCAGCTGGGTGCAGCAACAGCTGACCATGGTGCAGCTGCAGCTGTGGAGCAGCAGCAGCTGTGGTGCAGCAACAGCTGACTGGTCTAATTTATCAGCTGACCGTGGTGCAGCTGCAGCTGAGGTGCAGCAGCAGCTGAGGTGCAGCAGCAGCTGACTGTGGTACGATAGTATTTATCACCCTTTTTACCACAGGGTTGGCACTAGAAGCTTTCTTTGGGCCCATGGTGGCTTATTTAGCAGTTACAAGCACTATAAATAATGGAATAATACAAAATGTATCGAATGTATGCATGCAACCAGCCACCCTGGCTTGTAAACAATGACGGCAAGGCAGGCGCTCAGGCTGGACGGACAGGTTCGGGACGAGTCATGTTCAGAAACAGCTGATGGTGCAACAGCAGCTGACTGTGGTGCAGCAGCAGCTGACTGATCCAGCAACAGCTGACTGGTCCAGCAACAGCTGACTGGTCCAGCAACAGCTGACTGGTCCAGCAACAGCTGACTGATCCAGCAACAGTGATTCTTAAATCTCTCAAACCAACCTTTGCTGGCTTTAAATTCACCAATATGAGCACTAGTTCCAGGCGTTTTTCCCTGTTCACCTGGGTGTTAGTCGACTGGTGTGGGTTGCATCCTGGGAGACAAGATTAAGGACCCCAATGGAAATAAGTTAGAGAGTCCTCGATGACACTGACTTTTTTGGGTTATCCTGGGTGGCTAACCCTCTGGGGTTAATTGTTTCTTGGTATCTCAATAAGCCACACCAACAATGGTGCTACAGCAGCACTGACAGTGCTACAGCAGCAGCAGCTGACAGTGCTACAGCAGCAGCAGCAGCAGACGGTACTACAGCAGCAGCAGCAGCAGCAGACGGTACTACAGCAGCAGCAGCAGCAGCTGATGGTGGTACACAGCAGCAGCAGCAGCTGATGGTGGTACAGCAGCAGCAGCAGCTGATGGTGGTACAGCAGCAGCAGCAGCAGCTGACAGTGCTACAGCAGCACCAGCAGCTGACAGTGCTACAGCAGCAGCAGCAGCTGACAGTGCTACAGCAGCAGCAGGGCAATGCTACAGCAGCAGCAGATGGGACTAAACAGCAGCAGCAATGCTACTGCAGCAGCAGATGGGACTACAACAGCAGCAGCAGCTGATGGTGGT